GGGTAAAGTAGTTGATGTCTATAATTATAGTAGGTACCAAAATTGGTAAGATTCTTCCATACGAGTCATTTTCCCTGGCGCATTCAGCAGAATATCGAAACAGTTCCTTGACAGTCGGATCAAAAGTTATTTTTGATATGAAAGTTACCAAAATGCTTAGCCACGCTTTCATCTTCATCTACATCACAAATTGAAAAGTGTACGAAATAGCTTCCTTTTCAAAATACAGGATGTTAAAAAATAAATTTGAGAAAAAAAATAGATTTTTTTAACTCATAAAGAACGATTTGGAGTGTATTTTTTTTGAAACTTTACTATTGTTTACTGTAGCTTGAGGCTTACGATATGTAGAAATAAAACTGTAAATTTAATGAGGTGTTAAATAAGATATTTAGAAAACTATGATGCGTATTATATTTTGGTATGAATGAATGAATTTATGCACGGCATTTAAAATATTACATACCCCCCCTCAAAAAAATTTCTGTACCAGAGACATGATTACATAGATCTTGTGTATTTTTTGATGCTGAATTCGAATTCTTATCCCAAAAACCGTATGTATTTTTTAGTAAAACCCTAAAATATCCCCTAAAATAGAGTGAAATAGTGCTTTATAATGAATATTGGATCCGCTATTCAAGAATTTTCTGAAGAACTGTGTTATTAAGAAATACTACTCAAAATAAAGGAACATTTTCAGAAAGCGGTAGAAGAAGCGCCTATACCGTAAAAGAAATTAAATATTTTCACTCACAATCAACATATTTTTTTGTTAAAACAAGTCCAATTGTGTTGAAATAATAACAATATTCATTGAGTATTGTTTACTCAACTATTTATTAACTAAATAAATCCTATATTGGTAATATTGAATAAGTTTTGAGTTAGCTTGATAAACTATGTGTATCCTATTGGTATGCCACACCTAATAGTAACTAAAATCGAGTTTTGATTACAACTAAATAAACGTATTTGTTGTTTGCCAGCAGAGTGAGTCGGTATCTGTTTGTACATAACTTTGTGTTCCTTCTACTCAGAAATGCTTAATATTAAATGCCCTAAAACCAGCGAATCCTGTTGATAGATACTAGAGACTTTATTTTCCGAGAAAATGAATGAAGCTATTGGGTGTCCTAAAATTCACGCAAGACTTGAATTTTGCGTAATTTGTTCTGTAAAGTGTTGCTAACGAAAAAAAAAAACAGCGTGACAGGTGACAGTTTAGGGTTATTAAAAATGGAGCGCTACACGAAAGAACAAAGCGTTTTCATTGTTGAGCCATATTTTAAAAATAATGAAGGTTTGGCGAATGCAGTTCGCAATTTTCTTACAAAATGTGGTCGGTGTAGTGATTTAACTTCGTTAACTGTGAAGAAATTAATTAAAGAATTCGGGTGACTGGAACAATTTTAGACACTCGGATCGTTCTTAACAAGTCGTTCGACAGAAAAGATTGAAGCAGTTCGTGAGAGTGTTGCTGAGAGTCCAGAAACATTAATTCACCACCGGACCGTGGTGAAGAATTCATTGGACATTTCGAGAAGTTCTCTACAGCGTACCCATCTCACGAAAGATTTGCATCTTCATGTTTAGAAAGTTCAATTGACTGTAGAACTGAAGCCTATTGACCAGGCTGGGCGAAGAGAGTTCATTGAATGAATTATGGAACAAAATCATCTTCAGTGATGTGGACCATTTTCATCTTCATCTTCGTTAATCGACAAAATTGTCGCATTTGGGGTTCAGAAAATCCACGAGTGATTGTTGAGAAATAAATGCATTCACAGCGTGTCACTGTTTGGTGCCGATTTTGCGCTGGAGAATTATCAGAACATTCTTCTTCGAATGCGGCTAGTCAGACAATAACAGTTAACAGTGCACACATAAAAACGTATCTTTAATAATAAACTACAAATTTCTTTAAAAGCAATTGTTTCTTATGAAGAAATATTTATTTAATTTGATCATATATCTTTATTTCAGTATTACTCATGTATTTGGAACAATTCTATTTTATGTTTAGAAAATGTATTAGAATCAAAGATACATCTTAAATTTAAACATATAATATAATGTATTAAAACTTAGTAAATTATAATGTAAAACAAATCAATTTCTTTAAAACAATCATGTTTTAAGGTTGCATCTACATTTTGGTTATTTTAATTTAAATAAACTTATTTAAAACAAATAAATCATAAATCCAAATTAAAACACTTATTTTATCAAAGGAATAATAGTATTTATTGACATAAAACTATCATATCTTCAAATTTTCAGATAAACTGCATTTAAAGATGTGATATAGTTAATTTTAGTATATTGTTTTAATTCAAAATTATCATATTTTTAAAACTACGGCGAAAAGCGTGGAATAACCTTCAGCGACAGCCAAAGGCATTTAGACTTAACTTCTACCACATGCAGTTACTCCTCTCGCATGTGTTTTATAACTTGCAGTTTGCAGTGTAGTGTGAGTGTGTATGGTGTATGGTCTGTGTAGTACAGCGTAGAAGTGTGTAATGTAGTCTTAGACAAGAACAATACTATTTAGAACATTTAACTGCTTCTGATTATGGTGTTAAGGAAAATTGCATTTTCATTGAACTGGATGACTTTCACATATATAAAAATATTAGTTGTGGTTTAATGCATAACCTTTTCGAAGGAATCCATCATTATGAAATGGCAAAAATTATTAACAATTTATTAACTAATAACTATTTTACATTACATTTACTAAATGCTCGAATTAAGTATTACTCTTATATGTATAAATCAAAATATTCCTCCAAACATTAAGTATGAACAAATTAGAAACGGTTATATTACTGTCATCTTCATGCTTTCCTTAGTTTTATATTTTCGTTTAATTAGATTTAGTTCCAGAAAATGATAAAACATGGATACTATACTTAATTTTATTAGAAATAACCGAAATGTTATTTTTGTCTATCTTTAATGATGAATCAATTTTTTAAAATTCTTATTGAAGACCACCTAATGTTTTTACAACTATTTAAAGAAAATGTAAAGCCTAAATTTAATTATTTGCTTCACTACCCAAATATAATAAAGAAAATTGGACTTGTAATACATGTTAGCTCCATTAGATACGAAGTAAAACATAAAGATTTAAAATATTTAGCTACCCTTATTAGATGTAGAAAAAATGTACATTTTTCACTTTGTATGCGGACGCAGCTTAAATTATCGAATAGAATTTTATCACAAAAGGACTAATTGACACGTTTGAACATGGACCAATTCAAAATTTAATAAAAGAAGACATTATTCTTCCATCTAATTCAGAAATTTCATCTTCAAGTTTTTGCGTGCCATGGTTAAAAATTAATGGTATTTTTTACAAAATCAAGTCTTGTTTTATTAGGTTTCCTAATCCTTCTTTCGGTATAATAGAAAACATCATTATTAATGAAGACAACAATACAATAATTTGTTTTTATTTCTATTTATTAATTACCTTAAATTATGATTTGCATCATAGTGCTTATTCTGTGAAGATCTCTGAAAATTTTGTAACGGTATAGACATTAAAACTTTAGGAACAATTAAACCTACCGTATTTTACACCGTCTGGGAAAAATTATTTATATTTTTGTGAATGTTATTTTATACATAAACAGCTAAGGAACATTAATTCTTAAAATTGTTTCTTATATTTGTAATATTTTCTGTATACGTTTATTTAAGAAAAAATATATTCTATTCAAACATACTCATACTTTTATTTTAACCTTACCCTGTCTCCTAAAAAAGTCCCAAATTTTTATTCCAAAGAACTATTTTATTTAATTCAGGAAAGTTATAGTCTCATATCAAATAAAACCATATATTTATATTTAAAAAACAATAATTTTCTTTCAAACATATATTTTGTTTTGTTAGAACAAATGTAATGTTATATTAATTTTATAGTATTTTTAAAATAAAACTACAAATGTTTTCTCTAAACCAATGAAAAATTTGAGTCAACAATATGTACTATCCAGTTTTTTGTGCCTAAATGGCAAGATATGGATGTAGACGACATGAGGTTTCAACAAGACGGTGCCACATGCCATGCAGTTCGAGAAACAATTCAATTACTGGACGAGTCATTTCCTGGTCGTGTAATTTCCCGTTTTGGTGATCAGAATCGGCCGCCCAAATCAGGCAATCTAACACCGTTGGACTTTTTTCTTTGGGGTTTTTAGAGTTTATGCCAACAAGCCTACGACCCTACGACCACCACTGTTTTGAAGAAGAAAATTGAGCTATGTATCTACGAAATTCAGTCACATTTATGCAAAACTGTCACGGAAAATTTCGACAAAGAAGTGGGTATGTAACAGCAAAGCCGTGGAGTTAGTAACCCTATACTGTATACTTTATGAATCATTACAAAATTTACAATTTTTAATTAAAAACCTGAGTTTTCTATCAAAATTTCTTCTTGCGTAAATTTTAGGACATTATTTAAAGTTTGTTTACTAGTTTAATAATGTCCATAAAAATTGTGTAAGCAACCGATAAAATATAATAACTAAATATCACTATTTTGAGATACTGTAACACTAAAGTAACTAGTTAAATTAACTCAAAATTTATAGAATTTTATTAATTTCAGTTATTATTTACTCATTGATTTGCATTTGCCCCCCTGCCCCCCTTGTTGCTGCATGTTGCAAGTTTCAAAAAGTGTTTAGCTAATTGCGTGACCTTTTTTTTTAAATGAAAAAGTGTTTAGATTTTGTGGAGGCCCACCCCAAGAAAAAATCCTAGCTACCATGGTTTCCTATGTGAGATTTATTTAGCTAACAAATCGCTGAGTGAATATTACCTGCCGAATAGTCTTATTATTTCAATGCAATTGGGTGTGGACTCATTTTAAAAAAATTGTGTTGATTTTGAGTAAAAATTCCCACATTTTTGTTTAACGTCTTATATAAATGTTCCTTTTTGTTTCACTTAAAACATAATTATATGTGAGAGATCTATTTATTACTATATATATTTACATTTTCATCTAGTACAATGTGTGGAAAACAACATTTTCAGTCTAATATTCCAAAACTGTCATAGTATGGTAAAAGGTGTTCCATGTGTTTTCGGTATCTCTCGTTGTTGTACGCATGGTAGCGAAACCCATCCGGTCCCTGATCCTTAACGATGTTGTCGAAACTGGCGTCGCTCCTATTGGTTGCTTTCACAAGAGGCAGAACAGTTGCGGCACCCATTAGACCTATGTACAACAATCTACTGTTAATTACTGATATAGAATACTATAAAGGGCGTTTCTTTATACTTAAAAAAAAAACTCTCATCAACGTTAGGTATCCCAGTACTGTTGCTGCAATTGGCTGAAGATTTCGAGAAAAAGGTAGTTTTTAGCTATCAATTGCGATAATATATATTACTTAATAAGCGTTTGCAAAATTTTACTCCAAGATAACAATGCAAGATTATATTTTTTGTAACTGTCTGAGGAATAAACAAAACAGATATAGTGACTTCTACAACACAGTCCTATTTACTGACGAGTCACGATTTATGAAAAATGTACCACTCTTGACATCAATTTGTTATTGGTCTACGGACTGGATTATCGATGATCATTTATTAGGATCAATCAGGAAATTTCTTTGCCATAGCTATTAGGCATGTGCCTTAATGATACATCATCAGATTACACTCAAATTCCTTAATAATCAATTCGCTAGACAATGGATTGGACGTAGGTGAGAGGTATTGGCCTGCCAGGTTACCTGACCTGAATATCTTAAATTTTTATTTGTGGGGATTCATGAGAGGCAAGGTTTATGCTGTATCAGTACAAACTGGCCAGGCATGAACTATAAAAGTCTTTAGCTGATTTAGAGATATTAAGAAAACCCTCTTCAGTGTAACAACTTTAACACCATATGCGCAATGTTAATAAGAAAATTTTAAGAGTGACTAACCGCGCCCCAATTTTTTTGACGTATAAACGGAAAATCCTGTATATCTTTTTCTTGGAGTTGAGAATTTTTCCGGTTTTGGCATAAATGACATACTGGTACTAACCAAAGAAAGCTCTGTAGTTGTAATCCTTCTTAAACTGTTCCCTCGTCGGTACTCTCTCCAAAGAATACTGAAGTCCTGCTAAATTAGCCAGAAGCTGGGCGTAGTAGTGATCTAAGATGATTTCAATGTGGTCCAATTTTACTTCTATCTTGGTGCTGGTAGCGATAAAGTAGTGCAAATCAATGGCTGGACTGGTGAATATCAACATTTGGAAGTCCACCTACCACGAAATAACTATTTATTATCAGATGAATCCGATGTGGATATTCATAATGGATGGGAAAAAAAGTAACGCTCGTCTCACAAAATGCTTTGTGAAAAATTGTGTGATATGTCTTTCTCTTTCATCTATTGTAATTATTAATGGTCATCTTTGAAAATTATTAATAAGTAAACTTTTGAATATGAATCCTTAGAATTGCAGTGCATTTAATTAGATACAAATGTAGCTAGCATAGATAAAACTTGAAAGAAGCATAGGTACCTACCTCTGCTTTTAAGTATTTTTTTAAACTTGTATCTACTTACAAATCTCAAGTCCTTCAACTTCTGTTGAGAATCATATAAGAACATCATATTATTAACCCACAAGTCGCCGTGATTCAAAACATGGAAGCCACCCAGTTTCCTTTTTTGAGCAGCAAATCCCCTCTCAAGGGCTTCATCCCCCAAAGCATGCAACTTATAACCATACTTTTCAAAACCTGTAATTTTTTTTTATCGTCATATTTGCGATATGAGTATATGAAAATTGCGTTATTTTTTTAGCAAAACTTTAAAAGAGAACTTTAAAATTTTCCTGCTTTTGTGTTTGTAATACATTACCTGGCCACCTGGAACAGGCATCTATAACCGACTGGTACCCTACTTTCACCCATTCTCGAACTAATTTGTTGTCAGCATAAAGACCTTCGCCATAATGTTTCACTAGAGATGGATCCTAAATGTAAAAAGTTAATAGATTCATTTTTATAAGGTGACCCGAAACTGATGGTTGACCGCCATTACAGAAAAACGGAAAGTGCATAGTGATAGAAGTATTTAACTTAAAATTCCATCTTCGTAAGTTTACTGCCCTAAGGTCCGTGACGTAATCGAAATTATTTTTCCCAATATCAAACATTTTTTTTATATCACGTGAAAGTCCTCTTTAGCTTTTTTATTAAAAGTTGTTCCATATAGCAAATTAAGTATGTACTAATTTTGCCAGCGTTGTCGTAAGATTTCAATGTTTATGCTCATTACCGAGTTGATTACTGATATGTTTTAATTATTATTTTTGTGAAAATTTGCTTCATTTATTAAAAAATCAAGAAATACAGAATGAAAAAGTAAATACGGTTCTAATTTTTGTTGAAGCTCCCAAATATTTAAAATTAGCTGTACGGACAAAAGATGTATGTCAATAATGATTATAAACATTTAAATTTAAATTATCTCCGTATTTTCTCCGTCAACGTTAATAAAATCAGTAACAGACTTGATTAAACCAGCGTTTTTTGTACGCATATCATTTTATATTGTGTGAAAGAAAAGAAATATCGAAAAAAATGTTAAGAAAAGTGAGAACTTTCACTCGAAAAAAATGTGTATACAGTGTGTCTACTTAAGTTGGAACCATATGGAAAACTTTTTTATTATTGGTTTTATGAAAAAAAGTTATTCTTCATAAAAAGTTTTGCATGGTCTAAAATCTAAAATTCAATCTTCAGTTATCAAAATTCCCCAGTCCTATACGAGGTATATCAGAAATTATAAATTTCGCTCAAGAGTAAAGTACCCTTATTTTTGACAATACAGAAGAGTGTTATAAAGAAAAGTTATTTTGAATTAAAAGTTATTTTCAAATATGCAATTACAGCTTTAGCATGAAGATTCGGGTTTTGTCATTATTTACGTTTTACATCATAAATTATTTGTATTATTATTATAATTAAATTGCAAGGTTGTTCATAAACATTAACAAATGGAAAAGTTATCATATTTTTAACAGATAAGAGATATAAATACAAATAATTTCTAATGTAAAACGTAAATAATCACAAAACCTGAATCTTCATGCTAAATGGCTGTAATTGCATATTTGAAAATAACTTTTAATTCGAAATAACTTTTCTTTATAACATTCTTCTGTATTGTCAAAAATGAAGGTACTTTACTCTTGAGCAAAATTCACAATTTCTGATATACCTCGTATATGAAATTTTAACTGAAGGTTGCATTTTAGATTTTAGACCATGCAGAACTTTTTATGAAGAATAACTTTTTTTCATAAAACCTATAAGTAATAAAAAACTTTTCCATATGGTTCCAACTTAAGTAGACACACTGTATATTGGGAAAAATAACGACGTCATAGTCCTTATATCATCATGCGTTAAAGACGTTTTCCTTTGAAAATCTTCGTAATGTTGAGATATCTCAAATACATCGAGAAACATCGAAATACCTCAAAAACATCAAAATATCTGGAAACTGGAAATACTTCAAAATAGAAATAATTTAATTTAAATATTGCATACACACCTTAAAAGGTCAAAGTCAGAGAAGCAAAGACCAATATGCTTAGACACCCAAGGTCATTGGCCTCTGGCTCAAAGACTATTGATTTTGCCGTAAGGGTATTGTACTTTAGCCTCGAGGGAATTGTTAGCAAGAACAATGACACCATTGGCTATGGTGTCATTGTTCTTTGGTTCCGGGGTTACTGAACTTTAGTACACTGAACATTAATATTTAACCCACATTAATCTTAACTTTTGGCCTTTAAAGGTACCTATATCAAAAGTTTGTGGGTTTTCGAGGTATTTCGAAATATGCATTCCTAACTTTTTTTACGTATTTCCAATGCTATTTTGCCGGTTTGGTGTTCCAATGTTTCGCGTGCATAGAAAACTACCATAGATTTTCTATTGTGACACCTCGAGCACCTCGAGTCTTTGAACTTGTGCAATTTTATACCACAAAAATTTCATGCTGCCCGCAATTTTGAACACATAATAAGCAACAGTTTTTTCAGTTAATATGTCGGTCATATTATCGCAGTAGCATACAAATGCGTCTACTTGCCCGTGCTGAAATATTGTGTAGGTATGTGGTAAATTTCTGAATGTCAACCTTTATTTCTCAATTAATGGAAAGTAAATGGGATTTCTTAAGTTATTTTATTGTTAAATTATTAGACAATTTTTAGTCTTGAAGACAAAGAACGTCCAGTCATAAAATATAAATGACAGTACCTACCTTATAAAACGTATAACATTTTCCAATTTTTTGGAAATTGTATTTTATAAATAATCTGATACATGCAAATGATCGTGATTACCTGTTCTTTCTCTTCTTCAGAAGTTAATGACAATGAAGTAATTATCAACATTCGTATTAGAACCAATAAAATTAATGAAAATGAATTATTGATTATTGCAAATAATTACCTTCTCATACATAATAACAGAAGCAGCGTGCAACTGGGCCATCTTTTCAACAACTCTAAAGCAATGGTCCAAATCGAAACCAATATGTCTTGGAAGCATTTGGAAACCAAGAGTTGTTAAATCTTCCAAAACAATTATGTAGTGAGGCTCGACGGAGGTGTAGAGGCATTTCGAGGAAAGAGTGTAGTATTGTCCTAAAACGAAGAATACCCCATATATCTGGTCCGTCAATCTTATCTAGCTTTGTTGTAAAATTAATACCTAATATTTGGTATATCATTGGGAAAGTTCTGCTGAACATTTCTGCCTCTTTTTCGAACAAATGGAGGTGTTTTGCCATGTCTTGCTTTATTCCTCCATCTTCATTGCCGCATTTCACAATTACAGAGATAGTTTCATTTTTTCCACTAAAAGAGTACAGGCGTAACTATAAATTGTTAATTCTTGTCTTATAACGAACAATTTTAGGCCACAAAAATTACGAAACATTGTTTTTATACAGGGTGTTAGTAAATAAGTGCGACAAATTTCAGGGGGTGATTCTACATGAGAAAATAATGGCAGTTTGCTTATAAACGTATGTCCGCAAATGATTCGTTTTCCGAGATACGGGGTGTCAAAGTTTTTCTTAAAAACTGACGATTTAATTTATTGCTGTGAAACCGGTCGAGATGTGCAAATGAAATTTAGTGGGTTTTAAGAGGTAGTTATTGCGCATTTTTTGACACGCAATTAAGAAAATTCTTAATTCTTATTTTCATCATTGGCGCGCGTACGGGTATTAATCTCAATTTTTTTAAAGAAAAAAATGGTACGCCACTGAGATATTACAAATTAAATTTTTAAATAAAATAAATTTTTGAATTCCTCGTTCAATTTGTGACAAAAGATCTCTCTTGCCTTTTCTTCGTATGGGGCGCCGTTTTGATGCAAAAAAATAAAACATCTTAACGCGTATTTTTTATTTCTTTAATACATTATCAAGAACTATCTAATACAATAACATTAAACCAGAACAATAACAGAAAATAACACTAATAAAATTTTGAAAAGGCGCAAAGCTACAACAAATATTCAAAATGACCTCCCTCAGACGTGACACAAGATTCAACTCTTCGCCTCATTGATTGTCGTATTCGCGCAAATATTCCTGGTATATTTCTTATTGTCTCACAGCCGACTATAATTCGATTCCTCAGGTCATCAACATTTTCAACGGGAGTGGAATAAACTAATGACTTAAGAAAACCCCAAATGCAAAAATCAAGAGGATTTAAATCCGGCGATCGAGCAGGCCAATGTTCCGTACCTCCCCTACCTATCCAACGATTTGGATATACTGTGTCTAAGTGATTACGTACATTAATGTTAAAATGGGCTGGTGCACCATCATGCATGTACTATAGGTTTTGTCTCAGCTGTAGAGGAATTTCTTCAAGAAGAACAGGTAACTCTTCCTGTAGGAAATCAAGATAAGATTTGCCTGTTAGTCGTTGTGGGAGGAAATATGAACCGATTAAATGATCATCAATTACCCCAAGCCATACATTTACGGAAAACTGATGCTGAAAATGAGCTTCAAATATTCCATGGGGGTTTTCCTCAGCCTACTAGGCAATGTATTAAAGAAATAAAAAATACGCGTTAAGATGTTTTATTTTTTTGCATCAAAACGGCGCCCCATATGAAGAAAAGGTAAGTGAGATTTTTTGTCACAAATTGAACGAGGAATTCAAAAATGATTTTTAAGTTGTAATATCTCAGTGGCGTACCATTTTTCTTTAAAAAAATTGAGATTATTACCCGTACGCGCGCCAATGATGAACATAAAATTTTTAATAGCGTGTCAAAAAATGCGCAATAACTACCTCTTAAAACCCACGAAATTTCATTTGCACATCTCGACCAGTTTCAGAGCAATAAATTAAATCGTCAGTTCTTAAGGAAAACTGACACCCCGTATCTAGGAAAACGAATCATTTGCGGACATACGTTTATAAGCAAACTGCCATTATTTTCTCATGTATAATCACCCCCTGATATTTGTCGCACTTATTTACTAACACCCTGTATAATGCAAATAGATTTAAAATATATTATTCTTTGAAATCAAAATTCAGAGAACTGTTGTAGAAACAAATCCGTTCAACTTCAATGTTCAAGAAATATGTATCTACACAATAATCATTATCTATTTATAACAAAGGAAATTTTGTAGAAAAGCAAATATTTTGCCTGGTAACTACTAATATTATCTAATTTAATTTTATCCCTAGTAAGAATTAAGTAGAACGTAAAAATATTATTGTAAAAACGACCTTGTATAAATATGAAACCAATAATAAATAAAATATTTTCTTTAAAATACTGTTTTTACATTTCTAAAAGTAGATGTCAACAATGAAAATATCTGCATTGTTAACATTAGGCAATAATTTTTATATATTGATTTAATTTTATTAGATATGATATAATAGATCAGTACAGTAGAAGCATATGCACTATTGTAGAAATATGGAAATGATGGAAATAAGCAAATTTAAGATATAAAACGTAGGACGTTTTAGGATAGGTAATGTTTACGATTTGAAGTAATATTTTTTTATTTAAGATAGGCCTCAATACGTAAATTAAGCTATTAATTTTTCTCCATTTTTAAGTTCAACTTGTAGTACCTTTTGATGAAAATGTTGATTTTATACTGACCTTTTACTCATTCGGTAAGTTATGGAAGTCCTGAAAAGGTCGCTAGTATAATTCTCTCCGACAGGCACAGCGTCTTTAGAAGTAAAGGTTATTATTTCGATGGAATCATTCTTATAAAAGCTCCTTAGAGCTTTTTCGAAAATATCCCTTGATATCCATACTGGTACCTTCATGATAGTGATCTAAAAATGTCATTAATTTTATTTTATGATATCTAAAATCCTTCTCCTTCAAAGTAGTCTGTTCCCTATGCAAACAATTTTGGATAAAGTAGATATTAATTTATGGAGAAAATACTTACCTAATACTTAATACAATCTGGATCTTTTCAAAACATTTATTTATTTATTTCTTTTTTAAATAACCACTTCCAGATGGCAGTTTTAAAATGAGGTGTAAATAGTGTCAGCATAATTATTTGGAATGACCCTTTGAGAACTCAAGGAATTTTGATCAGAAAAAAATATGTGCCAAATTTAGTTTTGATATTTTCTATTATTTTGAACCCTAGCACCAGTTTGTTTACAATTCCATGCTATAAGCTTTACTGTTGATTTGAACAAAGTTCATGCATCTTGATTTTACTGAATTTTTCAATTTTTTTTCTTTTTTTTTGGGCAGACTACTTATATTTTTATTAACTTTTTTCTCATTTAGGAGAATATTTTCTTTCTCATTGTATAATTAGAGAATAATTATTCTAATTATTTTATATTTAAATGATTTTGATGTTTGAAATTAAAGGTTAGTTTGAATATACATACCTACTATTTTACTTTTTGCGAAATGCTTCACTTTTATGTTACTTTTAACAGAACTATCACAAAATACTGTGCAAAATGTGCAGGTACTTCGGTACATATTTATATGAAATTCAATTTCGCGTGACAAATTAGGCCTTCCTTGCAATATTTAAATTTAATTATTAGTTACCTATCGATTGATAATTGCTTTAATTCATGTTTTATCCCACTTAGAAAAGGATACCTTGTTTTTCATTTGTTTTCATAAAATGGTAATTACATATTCTTAAACATTTTGAATTGCTCTTGTCATATTTAAATAGTTGATACATAAATTACACATCACTCATCAGGCACATGCTCTGTCAAAATGTAATTGCATGTTAAACTGTGGCACATCGGAACTGTAACATTTTTTTTAAAATATTTCCGTTTGAACATTGCATTTTATTTTTCTCATTGCAACTGTAGAACCTTTAGAGATCATATTTTGAAAATATCTTGTCTTTTATTCATCAGGTTGCCTTACAGGCACTTTCCAAAAGGTATTTATTATTTAATTAATTTAAATAATACCTAAATATATTTTGGAAAGTATAAGTAGTTTTTTTTTCGTAAAAATAAAAAACAAGATATTTTCAAAATATAATCTTTAACGGTTCTACAGTTTGGGTAATCGAGGAAAGACGCAAAGTACTTTTTTTCCATACCTTGTGGGAGGTATGCTACTTGATATTCAAAGTAGAAGGTAGATGCGACTATAAGTCCAATTAAATGGGCCTTTAAATCACAATTTTGGTCAACTTGCCTGAATTTTTGATATAAGTTAGTTTAAGGTATATAATAACAATAAGTGACAGTATTTTTCTTCAACCCCCGATCAGGGGTGAAAAAAGATAAAGGAGTTTTTCAAGATAACTCAAAAGGGGTAAGAGCTAGAAAAATAAATTTCTTATATAAGTTGTAGATCATAAAATTCTACATAAAAATGGTCTATTGACTTTTATTTGTACTAGTAAAATTAACAATGTTAGGGAGACTAGAAGTTAAGGGATGATATCAGGAATTTAAAAAATCATAAGCAGGAAAATGAATGAATTCTATATATTTTTTTTTCAATCTACTCTAAAAAATGTAAACTATCTTTTCAAAGAAATAGATACATTTTTAATAAAAAAGTTAGTTATAATAATTTCACAAAGCGAACGTGATTTTTTATCTTTGTCGTAAAATAAAATTTCGAAAGCAACTTTTCACTATTTTAAATAATCAATCGAATGGCATAGAAAAAAAATTGTTGTAGTGTTAAATCATAAAAATGAACCATTAGAAAATTGAAATATTGTTATAACTTTTTTATTAAAAATTAAAAAATATATTTTTGAAAAGAAAGTTTACATTTTTTAGAGTAGATTGAAAAAAATATATATAAAATTCATTCATTTTTCTGCTTATGATTTTTTAAATTTCTGAAATCATCCCTTAGCTTCTAGCCACCCTAACTCTGTTAATTTTAATAGTACAATAGTATAGTAATTTGCTAGAAGAAAGCCTCTAGTAGGGGAATAATTCAAGAAATATGGTGGGCAATGTTATATTTTAATGCAGCATCCACATAAGTAGACAAATCTTACGTACTTATTAAACATTGTTGTAGGTATTTTATGAAAGCTAAAAATAAAATAAAAATATAGTGTTACGATAAGCTGTTGCTTTTAACTTTAACCAATTCTTCCGACTTCTAATGCCATGTTGGAAGTTAGATGTTTAGATGTTATGCAGAAACGTAACAGAATCGATACCATTCATGGAAACTTTTGTTAAGCTTATTTATTTTTAAAAAATTGGAAAATACCATAAATCAAGGTGGAAATCAAAATGTTGCAAGTAAAAAAAAATAAATTGCCCATGTAAAAATTAATATTCTTGAATCACTCATGCACAGGAAACCAGGACCGGATTAAGGAGGGATTACAGGGGCTATAGCCCGGGTCTCACGAGATCGGGGATCCTCTCGGAAAGATCTGGCAATTTTTTTTTAAATCAAACCAAAAAGTGATTAGGTTTTGAAATTTTATATTTACAAGCTGCTGATTGCGGATTGAGTTGATTTGTCGCTTCGTCTTCGGGCGGTGAACGGCAGTTTTAGCAGCTGGTTTATCCCTTTTCAGGAAATTTTGAGCATTAGAAACACTGTCCAGCATTCCGTTCCTGGTTACCGATGAACTGCCGATTCCCAGGGTTGACGTTCGCTCACACCCAAGGCAGCTTCTACTTGCGTCTTTCTGGTAGGCTTCGCTTTAGTGCGGTTTTCTGGACCCTGGCTGGATTCCGCGCCTTCTTATTTTGTCCGCTTATAACATTTTTCTGAATTAATCATTTTAATGATGTACATGGTGTTGTCTTGTATTAAGTCCGAATTTCGTTATATTCGAAGAAAGTCGAAGCCAATTTCGGCTTCGAGGCCCTCAAGTCGAGCTGTCGGGGATGAGGGTGCAAGCTGCATATAGCGATTTTCGGGTGTGACGGCGGGAATTTCGGAAAGATCGGTGGAAACGTCCAATTCCCGTGTCACGTCGTTCTGGAAAGAACCGTTGACAGCATCGTTGGTCAAGTATCATGAATAGCGTTTTGTGGTTGTTTAGAGCGCTTTTGAGTGCGAAGACTGAATTTTGGAAAGATAGGTGAAATTTTCAATTTACCGCCGTGCTGAGGCTGTAGGTCTTTTCAATAGCGACGACCTTAACCATTGCGAGGCTCCAGGCGGCAGGTCTTTGCGAGGCCCTTGTTCTTTGTGAAATATACGTAAATCGAATGTATATATATATTTCTGATGATTTAACAGAAATGCAAAAATAAATTGTGAGTTTTCAAATATTATATTAAGATTTTAGTTAACAAATACAAAGACGACAAATTTTTAATAATGATAAAATAAGGTACAAGATTCAAACATATTTTTCAATTATGTTTTAATTAAATTACAAAAAATATTATCCTCTGATAAATTAATTGATTAATCAATCAATCATTAAATAAATTTAAATGAGAAATTTTATTTAGGCACCTATACTACTTATTAAGTATTAATATATTTACTATGAATTAACCAAGTTTATTTTATTGTCATACCTCTATAGCTAACAGCAAAAGATAAAATAAAGTTTTTAAAAAAACTTTTTTTTACTCGGGCTGTTGCGCGCGATGTTGGGAGCAATTACCCTGCTCGCCACTGCCTTTGGGACATCCTATGGTCAATTTGGTTTGAGGCGGTTTTTTCCAGCATTGTAACCCCGAATGGAAAGTGTGGTGAATTGTCTCGGTACCAGTAATATGATAATATAAAACAAAAATCAGGGCAAATGTCAGCGGAATATATTAAAAAACATTAGTTATTAATAAAATTATTTTTAAACTGTAATTTTGACACCCCGAGTCTTGAAAAAGAGGCAACTAAAGGAAAAATATTATAAGGAAAGTCCCATTATTTTCACTCAAAGGTATGACGGCACAGCCTTTTTTGTAACACCCTATATTGTGAGGGTTAATAAGTACTTCGATTCCAATCTGTAGACCCTGATTTTAACATTATTTATAACGTCCTTCCTCGTACATGACACATTAAAATTACATTCTACAAATTAAATAAAAAACACTAATACAATAATTAATATTTATTTAAAATGCGTGTAATAATATAAGTTTACATTTGCTGTGTAGAATTACCATTCCAAGTATTACTATCATCATCACTATCTCTTCTATCCGTTAAACGATGTACATTTCCTTGTCGTTTAATTACAGTTGAATCCCTAATTCTCTGCCTTGGATTTTCGGGCCTGAAAACGTTTCCTACATAGAAATTTAAATTAAAAAAAAAATAATATTTACATTTTTTCACTAAAAGGAGAAAACTGCAACATGGTGGATACTGGATCTCGGGTTAAATTGGACAATTTGGAAGGTCTGGAATTAAGGGAAAGGACAGGTCTATAATTCTGACAAAAGGACAAGCAATTGTTACAAGCGTGATTACTAATTTTATTTGTAAAATATACCGGGTGTTAAAAAAAGCCATACCACATTATATTTGGATGAAAATAACAAAACCTCATTTTCAAGGAACAGGGTGTCAAAGTTACGGTTTAAAAAAAGTTTTTTATGATACTAAACTGAAGTTTTGCACAGAGGGTTGAAAGTATCAAAGGAAATATACAATACAATTTTCCACCATTCTTGTTTCAATTTTTTTAACTAAAATTACAAATGTATTGGCAATGGTAAGTCTGCAGAATTTTCAACTGAGCAACTTAAGAAACAAAGAAGTTATCAACAGAAGTCTTGAATGGTAAGTTTGACACCTATATCTTGTAAAGAGAGAAAGCCTAAATAATAAACAACATACGTTTAATAATTTTTTGCTTAAAGATTTTGTGGGCAATGGCTTGACCTACTTTTTATTAACACTTTATTTATTGGAGGATATCAAACTGTTTTCAGCTATGAGAATTTACATGTCACTGAACTAAATTTAACTTTATTAGTCATTAAAATAAATAATCTACATGTACACGGTGATAAAGTATGTAATATAAAAAATGTCATATCGTTACTTACAGCAAAGCATATAGAGTGTTGTAATATTTTATTGGATAAACTGTACCTACAGGGGATTCACTAATAATTAAAAATAAGAAAAAATTTTCTGAATAGTCTTTTCAAGATACAGGGTGTTAAAAGTTTATGAAAACTGTTACATTTACTTCAATATCTCTAATTAAGCCTTAGATTAGTGACAACTAAAGATAAAAATTCAGTAAATTTGTATACCATTGTGTCTACTAATGGTGGAATTATTGACACTAAGGCCGGTGTCCCATGCATCCGAATTCCGACGATACGAAGGTCTGAAAGTGTTCCTATTGGTTAATATACATTCAAATTTTTACCGCTCATTTTCATCCGAAATTTTTTAAATTCATACGATGTCGGAAAAAGTAGAAATAATTTTAGCTTTTTTCCGAAATCGTGTTTTTTAACCTCACTTTTTAAGTTTTTAACATACTATGATTGTTGTTTGATATATTTACAGTCCAATAAATGTTATATTATAATGTCGAATGTAGAAAATATAATATTACGTATATTTTCTATAATATATACCTATGGTTGTCATTTGAAAATGTTTCACCTTCATCTTGTAATAAATTCCATGGTTCTATACTTGATTTCTATGAGATTAATTTCGGATGCATGTGAATTATAATATTATCATTCGTACGAATTAAAATATTTTCGGATATCGTACATCGGATATCGGATGCATGGGACACCGGCCTAAAAATCTAGTATTTTATCACCTTTAAATACAGATTTTTTCTATAAAACCAATCGTTTTAGAATTAGTTAATTTATTCAACCGAGTAGTAAATTTGTTTTAAATTTAAAAAAAATAATAAAAATAACTCGAGAATGAATCGTTTCCTGGATAAAACAGATATCCATTTTTTCCAAAATATAATTTAGGAATGAAATGTGCCCATCAAATTTTTCCTTTTTTTCTAATTTTTAATCAGACTATCATTTGTATAATTTTGTCAAATGAATATCACAATACTGTGTATACAGTGTGTCCCGTTTTTTAGGTTAACACCTCTGGAAATGTGAGAAAGCTGTGGACCGCAAACCAATTTTTTACAAATAGTATCCTGAAAGGTGGTTATATTCTACTAATCATTTTATTGATGTGACAAAAGCCTGGTCTACTATTTTTAAAAAGGTCTGTTTTTCCAGAAAGTGGTATTAATCATTTTTTTATCAAAAAGATAATATTTACTAGGCTATTCAACACTCATCAAAATATTTATATAACAAATTTGATCGACAGTTGTCTATTGTGTTTTTTTTGGGGTGCCAAACTTCAAAAAATCAGACAATTAAAAATTATAATAAGCAGGTCAAAGATTGCCATGAAAATGAAAACAAGTACAAATCGGACAAAGAAAAAATGCAGACACAATAAATTTTACATTTTTAATTGCGGCCACAGTAAAAATAACGTACAAAAAATGTAATGAATTATAAATATTAGTTAACATTAAACATTAAATTTAAAATTATTTCACTCATTCAGTGTAGTTGGTAAACTAGTGTCATGACATAACAATATATTCCAATTATGGAAAAATATTTATCCTTATAGAATAAAGGCTATGTAAAGTATTTTTAAATTTAAGAAGACGATTGGAAAAATGTGTTCGAATGGAAGGTTTGGTGGAGAAAACTAAAATTTGATTTAAATTGTTTTGCAATTTCTTGTTTAGCAACTTAGTATTTATAATTCATTACCTACATTTTTTGTACGTTAATAATTTTTACTGTGGCCCCAATTAAAAGTGTTAAATTTATAGTGTCTATATTTTTTTCTTTGTCCGATTGGTATTTGTTTTCACTGTCATAGCAATCTTTGACCTGATTATTATAATCTTTAGTTGTCTAATTTTTCAAAGTTTGGCACCCCATAAAAAAACTCAATAGACATTTATTGATCAAATATGGTATATGGGTGTTGAATAGCCTGGTAATATTATCTTTTTGATAAAAAAAATGCCAAATACCACTTTCTAGAAAAACGACCCTTTTAAAAAATTGTAGTAGGCCAGGCTTTTGTCACATCAATAAAATGATTAGTAAAATATAACCTCCCTTCAGGGTACTATTTGTAAAAAAATTGATTTGCGGAAAGTCCACAGCCTTCTCACATTTCTAGAGGTAAAAAACGGGACACACTGTATGTGCTCACCTTTGTAAAACATTACAGGTAAAATTAAAATTTAACTAAAAACAAGATAACAGAAATGAAACAAGTAAACTAAAAGAAGAACATCAAGTTTTGATCAAACTATGGAATATTTTCTAGAAGTGGAACAATTAATGAAACAGAACGGAATAACTTCACTACCACACGTGGTATGTGTACCACAGTTTGAAAAATCCTGCGGTATACGAATGTACTTACTGGTTAGTCGGTTCAGCGGTCTGTGTTTTCTTTGTCACAACTGTTGGAGCTCCGAACAGAAAATTCTTTATCATTCCGAATATATGAAACAGAGGTGCAATCAAAGTCCAAATTAAGCTATTGAATGTGCCTCCACCCTGACCTCTGGACACCACTCCACTGTTAACGGGCAAAACCAAAATAACAGCCGTAGGGCAAAGCTGCAAATCTAACAGCGTCTGACTATAATCATTTTCCGTAAATTCCCTCCTTGGGAAGGTTGTGGACAATTTAAAATTAGAATACGGCAAATTCATATTGGTTTTAATGTGGGTCACGACGGCCTCCAACAGATCAGAATTGGCGAACTCTTGCATGCTAGTGGTGCCATCTGGAAGTTTAAACTGTAGTCTTGTCGAATTGTCGTTAGGCCTTGATGGTGACAACACCGCTTGTGGTCTGCTTGGTTCAGACTGAGGGGCAGATTTCGCCAAACGTTCGGCCTTATCTTGAGCAATTTGGGCCAAGACTCGTTCTCTAGCCTGTTGCTTTTCCCGTTTTTCTTTATCTCTCTCTTCCTTTAATTGTTTTAATTCCTGATCCTCTTGCCATCTTTTCATTTGTTGCACATTTTGACCCATTTTGCGACGTTCTATTTCTTTGAGACGCTCATTCTGCAGATATTAAGTTTAGTTACAAAATACAGTTTTCCCAATTTTTACTTGGTAATAAAACAACTCAAAATGAGAAAAAATCCATAAAGATACGTAGGAGATGCTTGTTTCCTAAGTTCTACATTTTGAGATAAAATAACTATGAACCAGAATCGTTTAAAGATCACTATGAATATTTTTATTATTCTGAGGAGTTTTATCACCAGATAAAATTTGGCCTACGCAATTTGGAACATTCCATATGTTGACAAATTGTAACTTAGCTCCAGTTTAAAATAAATGATTGATTTTCATTTCATTTATGACTTAGGTACCTAACTCAATTGCAATTTTTTTCAAAATGGAACTACATACAACAGAAATAGCTTGACACCAACCATGCAGTAACAACAGATTCTTACCTCATTCTAGTCCAAGTTGTATGCAATAACAAATTTATAGATTAATAAAAAATATATTTGTAATAAAAATTGCATACCTCTTTTTCTTCTCTCTCCTTTTCCTCCTTCTTCTTTTGTAACAATTCTTTTGCCCTCTCAACTTTATCCTCAACAGTTTTATCTTCAGAGGATGTACTTGCATTGCTAGAATCAGTCCTTATTCTACAAACGCCGTTTTCACATACTACATTATCCTCTGCAACTGCCGACTGCTCATTCTGAATCAAACTTGCAGAAGGACCTATGTTGTCATTTAAAAAAATACACAATTATTTTTGCGGAAGAACGTATGAAGGTAAAAAAATATATAAAAACTTAAATGACATTTGAACATACTAGAACTAACAGTTGCATATCCAGCTTTTTGTAACACACTTTCAATTCTAGTCGACAAAGATCCTAAATCATCTGCACCAGTGATGGCATCTAAAGAAGTTCCATTTTTACCGATGAAGTATATCAGTGGAATTCTTCTTTCATTAACTAATCATTTGGTTAAGGAAATATTATTAAAATTGGTGAAAGTAAATAATTATAATTTCTGCAATAAAGGATACAAATTTCTATAAATTGTCGATGTGGCAGTGAATCAGCCTCAATTTTAATTGCAACAAAATTCTCGCTTCCAAGGTTCTGGCCTGCATCTCCATTCTCAATGATATCTGTTATTTTCTTTGACTGTTCATCTTTACCTAAGATTGAGAAACGAATTAAAAATACAAAATCATAGTAAGTAAGGAGCTCCTTTAAATTCAGTTCAGCCAACTATCGAAACGTTTTGTTAAAAAACAAAGTAGAAATTAGTTAGGTCTTATATTCTGATAGAATTTAAAGAAAATTAAATTTACACGATTTGTTATGACCCAACTATATCTTCAACATTAATATTTAAAATGTTAAAGTTTTTGAATTTAATTTGAATCTAACGTTTAGGTGTCTAAAGAATCTTTCTAGAACTGTTCAAATCAATTTACCTACTAAAAAAATCACCTTAGAAATACTTTCTGAAATGAGTCGTTTTAATTAATTTTATCATATCTACCTTCCACGTATACTACAAAGATAGCGCCCTTTTGTTTGGAACTCTGTACAGCTTCAGCTATTCCTCCTGTAAACCACTTCATTTTATTGCTCGATGTAAAATTAATGCAAAAATTAATCTAACAAAACTGAAGTTGCACTTGACATTTCTTTTCACGGAATGATGTCACAAATTTTGATATTCTACCACTGTCAAAATTCAAAATTGAACTTAACCTTAGACCTTTGAAGATGGAAATAAATGTAGATTGTCAGGCGTCAGATGTCGCTGGCACATGATTTGCAAAATTTAACCAGAGAACACTAGTTGTTGTTATAGTGTTCTCTGGTTTATCTTTGTCATATGTACGCCGCCATTATTCCATGGCTAGAAATTGGCCTCAATGATTTGGGATCGAGGGGGATTATCCCTCTTTATCCTGCCTCATCTCGTGTAGGCCTGGACAGCCTTCGTAGGTGGGCCCCATCCGTCGTCTACCCCGACCGCAAATGCGGCCGGTGTAGGCGCTTTGTGGGACCTCCTTTTGTCCTGGCTGGGCCCCGCCGGCTAGGGCCCTTTCTTCTGGCGCTCTTCTTGCTTCGCCGGCTCGTCTGTGTAAACCCCGGGGATGGTGTCATGTTTGTGTGGTATGGTTGGGTAGGGCGGTGCGGCTACGCAGCCTGGGATGCGCTTTGCTAAGGAGGCCCTTAGGCTAGCGCGGGAGGGGAGGGATAAGGAGGGTATGGGGGGTGTGTGTGTGTGTGTCGTTGTCTTCGTTTCTTGATCCTGGCTGTCTCTGAAACAGAAAAGGTTAGCGGGCAGAGGGGGGGATATCATATGTACGAAATCTTTTAAGTATAACCTCAGAGTAATAAATTTATTAGTCTGAGGATAGTTTACTCCTGAATAATTTGTTTTTAATGGATTTATAATGAATAAATTTATGCTGTATTATATTTAGTCTCTTTCCTAATCTAAGGGCTGATGCCTGCCAACAAATTTTGACATTTGCTGACAGCGTCGACTATACTGCCAAATTTTCCCTAAATATATTGACATTGCCCATGTCAATAAATAGCTAGACCCTTTTCTATTTTGCATGAAAAGTTACCCAGCAATAATTTCCTGAAAAAATGTAAAAATCTCACAGCACAGCACTCAGCACTGATGGAATCGCAGAACAGTGAATAATTTATTCTGATCAACTCCTTTTTAACATGGTTGATTTAGTCAAGTTCACACGTCACAATTCTTTATCATGTTAAAACCCCTTATATATTATTGATCTGTGTTAAACCCTATTTATTAAAAAGTTATGCACTGTATGCCATTAATGGTAAGGGAAAGCACGTAGATATTTATGTGTAAACATACTTCCCTAACACTGCCATCTGGATTTCATTGAAGAGAACAAACCAAGGTTGTTAAACTTGTCTTCTAAAAACAATGCATATACTTTCTTCTTTTTACATTCTTTTGCTGAATATTTAGATAAGTATCTTCTGGATATACAGAGTACTTATTTTTTAAGTATGTCATAACTCATAACTTCAGGAAGTTGTTCCTTATATCATTTTAAGTTTTTCAAAATATTTGTTACATAAAAATGAAAATTTTTGTTCAAAATACATATTACTATGATGCAATTATTAAAAATCCAAAAAAATCATTAGTTTAGAAATTTTAAAGTATTCCTTAAATAGCTTCTATGGTAATGTTTTTTTTATACTTTTGATAAGTTCCTTAATACATATTTCAAATTGTATTTGGAAAAATTTTTTTTACTATGAATACTTTTAAATACATATTTTTTTCAGTTCTGTGTAAATAATTAATAACTAAAAAAAGACTTGTTTTTTCAATAAGGTGAAAGATAACTTCTTCCTTAAAAATCACTAAAAATTAAATGCATTTATTCAATTTTCAAAATACTTAGTGGTATAGAAACTCAGAGGTTTTTACTGACACAGCCTCTTATTATCTCTCTACCGCTGATCCAGAGATTTGTATTCCAATTCAGTATATTTTTGCTATAATTAAATTATTAAACTAATTTCGTCTATCTGTATGAACATCTTCAGACACGTTTGAATAAATGTGAAATTATTTTTTAAACTAGTTCCACAGAATATATAGCGTAGCTATATATTTTGTGCTAGTACCTTTGATTCATTAAGGCATTTTGGTCTTAGATGACCTTAGAAATAATCTGAAGACACTGCGATTTTGAAACTTGTCCACGAAAATCGAACGAAAAACAAATCAGTTTTAAATATTTTCTAAAATTTGAAATAGGAACTGAAGAGAAATTAAAAATATTTATAAAAATGATTTATTATCACAAAAAATACATGCCTACCTAATATTATTTTCATTTTATTACACAAAGTAGTAACAAACTCAATATCTGTAAATGAAAATAATATTTATTGTACAAAAAAAATATCTATTCTAAGAGCAACGATTGCACATCAAATAAATTTAATCAGTCTATTACAAACAGAGCCTTTTCAATATTTATTTTGTTTCGAATTATACATAGTTTTTTCCCTCAAGAGTGACAATGAACTAACTTTGCCTCTAACATTTTATAAAAGAAATATATTAACAGAATCTACTTCTACAAGGTATTAATTATGTACACTAACAAACTTTAAGGGGCGATTCTTTGAGGGATTTTAAGTCAAAACGGTTATGTAAGCTTGGGTTCAGAAATTAATAGTTTTTGAGATACAGGGTGTTGAAATTTGAAAAAAAAAATTAGTGGTTTACTCTTTTTAGACTTCTCATGATTATGGTGTACTGAAGGGGTAAAGTCACTCTAGAATTTTGAAGATATGGTTTATTATAAGAAGGAAAAAGTTTCAGGTGGGGTAAATATCGGGGACACCTGTGATAAAATTTTGTTGCATTAATTTCGGAACACCTTGTAGAAGGTCAAAAATATGGTGCAGACATCACTGATTGAAGGTATATAATGAAGTTTTTATACTGAATGGCAACAAATACTTTAAAAGCGTTTTTCACGAAATCACTTTTTTTAATTAGCCGGGAACATAACTCAAAAAGTTTTCAACGAATCAATTGAAATTTTGTACAAAGCTTCGCAATAATATAATTCAGGCAAGATCGTAAGGGTTTTTCAATTGATTAACAATTTAATGCAAAATTTTTAGACTTTTTTCAATACTTTTTTAATGTTCACAAATTCAACCTCTAATTGTTACCCCTTAAGTTGTGTTGTGTTCTAAAGTTATTTTACATTTTCGGAAATGTTTGGTATCGTTACCAGCAGAATTGAGCGTGTAGAAGAATAATTTATGCAGTTATGCAGTTCGAAAACAGTTGGCAGTTGCGAGTTGGAATCGACGGATTTTCTGACGGTGGCAAACAGGTTTGTATCAGTTTACTGGAGTGTGACTGGCACTTGTGCAAACGATTATTTTGAGGTTAACGAAGCTTGTATTTGTAACGATTACAACTATGGAAGAGAAAATTCATGAGGTTTTGAAAGATTTTCTGGAGATTTACAAAAGCAAAGTGTGTCTGTATGATCCAAAGCAAACAATACCATGATTGTGTAAACTGTGTAAACGTTTATTTTGAGGTTAACGAAGCTTGTATTTGTAACGATTACAACTAAGGAAGAGAAAATTCGTGAGGTTTTGAAAGATTTTCTGGAGATTTACATAAGCGAAGTGTGTCTCTGTATGATCCAAAGCAAACAATACCATGATTGTGTAAACTGTGTAAACGTTTATTATGAGGTTAATGAAGCTTGTATTTGTAACGATTACAACTATGGAAGAGAAAATTCGTGAGGTTTTGAAAGATTTTCTGGAGATTTACAAAAGCATAGTGTGTCTGTATGATCCAAAGCAAAAACTACCATGATTGTGTAAACTGTGTAAACGTTATTTTGAGGTTAACGAAGCTTATATTTGTAACGATTACAACTATGAAAGAGAAAATTTGTGAGGTTTCGGAAGATTTTTTGGAGATTTACAAAAGCGAAGTGTGTCTCTGAATGATCCAAAGCAAACAATACCATGATTGTGTAAACTGTGTAAACGTTTATTATGAGGTTAATGAAGCTTGTATTTGTAACGATTACAACTATGGAAGAGAAAATTCGTGAGGTTTTGGAAGATTTTCTGGAGATTTACAAAAGCGAAGTGTGTCTCTGGATGATCCAAAGCAAATACCATGATAGGGACATGAAACAAGCTTACTGCACAAGTGAACAGTTATCATATGACTTGAACCGTGTAGATGCACGACTTGTACAAGCATACGGCATGTACAATGTGACTGCGCAGTTATGCCCTATAAAGTGCACCAAAATATCCTGTGGCTTTGAATTTCTGGGGTTTTTAGTGAGAGTAACCTTGGTAACTCGATTGCCGGTACTTTTATACAAATTCAATGGATATTCGAATTTAATTAGATAAACCATTAGTCTTTCATCATCAAATGTCTTCAGAAATTGATGAACACTAGAAAATGTGTTTTTTTAATTTCAGCACCCTGTATTTCAAAAGCTATTTACTTGCAGACTCATGGTCACATAATTTTTTTAATTAAAATCATTCAAATAACTGTCCTGCCCCTTAAAGTTTTTCAATGTAATATTTAATTAATTAACACCCTGTATTTAACACTGAAAAAGTACTTTTAGGAAAAGGAACTTTTGATTATTTCAAAAAACTGAAATATAAAATTGAAAATATACCGAGTTCTCCTTAAATAATCTAATAGTACATTATATTATAAGATTATTCAAAATAATTTTTTGTAATCGCCTGTAGAATTTCAAATTGAAAATTTCAATGAATACTGAAAAAAAAGTCCGTGTTAGGTCAAAAAATAAATCTTCCCTTCTAATACGAAAGTCACATATCGACACACAAACAGAAATGTTCTTTCCATTTAAATTCAAAATAAAATACCTACACTCTATAATTACATATTTACAGTGTTCCCAGAACACAATTTAAGGTTTCTGATTGGTCAGCTGCTTAGCAGCGTTACCCACATTATTCTGCGGCTTTGGAATTGTTCTGACAGGGCCCAACGACAGCATAACGTTAGCTCCCATACCAGCCACGTTTCCAGGACTCCTCGCGTTAACGATGGGGAGGGCAAACATACCATCGGCGCCGGAGGAAGGCAAAGGAATATAATTGCTTATGCCCAACGATGACAGTTTTTGGATGACTCCAGGTTGTTTGAGGTTTATTAAGGGTATTCCCAGTTCACACATCCCTCCGGTCGTTTTGTGGTAGGTCTGTCGATGTTTGTTTAGACCGATGGCATTGGGGTATTGAGCCGGACACAAGTCGCAACGGAAGGGCAGGCCGGGTCTCTGTTTCTGCGGCGAGGCGGCTGGTTGTGGCGGGGGTCCGGTATCGTCTGTCAAATCCACTGTAGGAAGGTTTTCGTTTGAACTTGTGGAGGTCTGAAATACGAAATTAAGTGTAATTACTAATGCAAATTTATCGTTACACAGAGTATTCCGATATTTCTTGTACAAAGTGTTCGATATAATTTTGGGAAATGCATTTTTCTTTTTAACATCTGAAAATAATAACTAAATACTGGAATCTTAAGGTGCAGTCATTCAAGGGGACAAAAATTATTTGTTATACAGGGTGTCTTGCTTAAAAGTGGAACAAGCCTATAACTCATGTACCATTTGACCGATCTGAATAAACTTTTTTGTTGGATACACCTGCAAAAAATCACGTACATACCTCGTGTTCTCTGAAATTTGAAACTGTTGCCGACTACGATGCAATTTATGTCTAAAAACCAGAAACTCTTATAAAGGATTTTTTTATTCAAAAATCTGTGTCACATTTATGACAAAACCCTCGAACGGCCAAATGTCACAAATTTTAATAAAGGTAAGTTTAATTAAACCATTTTATTTTGACTCCAAGAATCTGTGACACTTTTTCGTACATGGAATATCAGAAAACCCAGTATTATAATCACCTAAAAATGTTTGTACTAACCTTTGAGTTCCCGTTACTTTTAGCGGCAGGAATGATACTGACGGCCCCATTGAGGTTCAACGAAGTGGGGACAGCTGGATTCTTTTGAGGAGATTCTGGTTTTTCCTTAGGCTTCGCAGTCGCCGTCACCGTAATTCCCCTGGTCGCTAAAATATTTGCTACAGCTTTAGCGTCTGACTTCTTAGGACTGGCCGGCTTGGGAGGCGGATTTCGCACACTCAACGTAATAGAATCCGAGAGATGCATAATGCTGCTTTCTGCGGGTTCAGAGGTACCGCCCTAAAATAAATAAAAGATTATATATAGCTTAATTGCTCTTGTACAGGTTGAACTGATTTTGACAGAAGTGGTTTGCGTATTTCCCCAAGAAATAAATAAATAATAATGTCTTGGGTACAATTTTTGGGAAAAATTGGAAGGCGAGGAACGTATTCTGCGATCAAATAATTATTTTGTCTTTTGCAAGTCTACCCCCTCAGAGGCTAGCCTGAGAACAATAAGGGTAAGGCAAAAATTCCTAGCTAAGGCTAAGCAAGTGAAAGGTAACTGGTGGCAACTACATACATAGGCCACGGCATAACAACCGTACATTAAATATATCACAAGCGGTTTCCACTTGAGCTCGAGACATTTGAACTACTCTCCTTAGCAAATACGGGAAACTTCCCAAAAAGTGTTGAAATTAGCACACCTTGTGCTTATAAAATCTAATTCGTACCTGTACACTTTCTATTTGTGGGAGACCTCCATCGGTATTCTTGGGTTGCATACAAATCACCTGACAGTCATCATCATCTTTGTCGGGAGTGAGCAGATCGAACTTTTTCTTTTTCGCTTGAAGGGCTTGAACCTGCTCCGGAGTTCTTTTCACTGGTTGCTGTTGCCTCATTCCGTTCTGTGGGGTACCCATCCTTGGTCGAATACTTCTAACAGCGGTCATTCCGGCTCCCCTTGGCCGCATCATTGGCGGTCTCTGTCTTGCCATGGGTTGCCTTTGCCCCATCGGTTGCCTAGGTCCGTTGGGCATCCTAGCCCCGGGAGGCTGCTGTCTAGGAGCGCTCTGTCTGGGAGGCATAGGTTGGCGATAAGGTGTAGACGGCTGAGGCATTTGATTCATATTCTGAGGTTGGGAGGAGGATTGTAGTTGGTTTTGATTTTGAGACATCTGTTGTTGCCCCATGGGCGGCTGGTTCATCGGCTGTTGGCCCATGGGTTGCCCCATCTGGGTTAATTGGGGTTGTGGTGGCGGAGGCATGTGCTGCAGTGGATAGCCTGGGGGCCCAGGGGGGTAATACATGGGGTTCGGTGGCCTGTAAGAAGAACTGTCATAGTATTTTGAGCATTAGTTTGATCAGGTAATTTTAATTACATTTACTTAAATAGACATACAAATTGAAATTGGCTATGCCTACAAGTTTATTCATGACAAACTTAAAAGTTAGTTCATTATTTATGTCATATAAGTATAAAAAAACAATAACTTTAAAGTTAAAGTTAACAGTAACTTTAAAGTTAAACGGACTGCTAGATAGAGTATTAATGCTGGATAAGCCATAATTATCGAATTGTAATATAATTTTGCTTAAAAAGTGACTACATTTTTTGTGTCATAATCTGTACCTAATTACATATAACATAATTTTTTTTTATCCATGTTCTTGCAATTTTCAATTTAGTCTTAGTAAAAAAAAATAACTTCACAGCCACTAAGGGCCGATTTAAAAAACCTATCAATAAAACATCTGGCAAACAGTTGTATTTCCCTTCTTTGTTATATAACACAATATTTTAGTTTCCTAGATTTTTGTTTATAAACAGGAGGCTATATATTTTATTTACCTATGTACTGAAATTTTTTGAAAGAAAATATAATATTGAAATTAAATTTCAAATGCATATTTTTTATTTTTATCGTGGAGGGGTTGGAGCCCGGTAATGTATGTCAATGTATGCACGCAGGCCCAATCTTCCTTCAGATTTGAAAAATATTAACCAAACTTCTATTTTGTAAATGAAGCACGCTGATTATTTGTCGTTTTATCTCTTTTCAAATTGCAGTGATATACATTTTAATTTAAAAATCTAAGTTCTGGAAAATAACATTTTTTGAAATTAGATGAATGTAATATGTTACATTAATCGAAGTTCAAAAAACGTTATTTTTCAGAACCTAGTTTTTTTTAATTAAAATGGAAATTTCATAAATATAAATCTTTAGGTCCGCTTAAAAAATATTCTGCATTTAAATTGATGAAATTCGAGATATAAAAAATCCGCTTTACAGTCTGCAATCATTTGCAGCAAGCCCTTTCCCGAAATTCTGACTCGCGGTTTGTTTTACAGTTTGTCAATTCGCAATTGCAATAGATGTGATACCAACACTTCAAACCGAATGCACACTACACTAATCCGTTTATCCAAATATAAACATTGCCAAGTAACCATAACCTTTAAAATAAAGATTTCAGTCTCAAATATTTCTATCAAGTCAGTCTTAATAACAACCATTCTAAAGTTTCAGTTAACACATTTGAATTTGATAGTTCAGCCTAGGAACTTTTATACAGATGGTAACCATGCAAATTACTAAATTATTTCCCAGAATTGCAGAAAAGCTGCAATAAAAATTGAACAAAACCGTTATTCCAAAAGTGCAAGTCTTTCAGATAAGACAACTTTTGCAATACGCTGCTGCTCAGTGCGCATGCCTACGTGCAAGAGACTTTGTAACTTGCAGAAAGAATTGTAGATTGTAAAGTTGGTTTAAGTGATCTTGATTAAGTTTACCTAATCAGATTTTTAATAAAAGAATTCCTTAAGTGTTTTCGCAAAAATCGTTTCAGCTGCGTCATCGTAATTGGTTCAATAAGTAGGTACCATCTTACATCTAGAAGGCCGGTATTAATAAAATTAATTCGTAATCGTTAAAATCGTACGTTTCAAAAATTTTTAGAGAGATAGCTTTGGTTCTTATGAGACATCTGTATATTAAATTATAATATTGAATAAGAAAAATTCTTTTATTTTAAAATGTACACTGAAACGTATTAAATGGCTATTTTGTTTTACTTCTTTTTTAATTACTCGACTATGTGATCTATCTAAACCAATATGTCAACAAAAATTTATTTGGAATGGTAATAGTAAAAACGTTTGTTAAAAAATTTATACATATACAGGGTGTTTGTAAATAAGTGCGACATATTTTAGGGGTGGTTGCCGAAGTTATTTTGTGAAAAAGTTCATATAAACAGGTCGAAATATGCTTCATCGTTTCCAAGATACACAGTGTTTAAATTTTAATTTTTTATTTATTTTTATTAATTATTTCAAAGTTTTGAAGATATTGGCTCGACATTTGATGGTTGTAGTTTATTTAGAACCTACAAGATAATGTATCAATAGAAATTAAAAATACACAACTTGCAATAAAATATATTTTATTTTCTTCCCCAAAAACGGTGCGTCCTACGAAAAAACTTGGAAGAGACCAATTTCATTCGGAATTGATGACGAATTTCTAAAAAGTATCAAAACGGGAAAAAGTCAGTGGCGTACCGAACGCCACCGGAGCAAGTAGAAATATTCGGATCACCCCAAAAAATGCACATTTATCCCTCCAAAGCGTTTTTCAAATTTCGAGTCAAATTCTTTAAAACTGAAATAATTGATAAAAATAAATAAAAATGTGAACATTCTATATCTCGGAAACGAAGCATATTTCGACCTACGTTTATATGAACTTTTTTCACAAAATAACTTCGGCAACCAACCCCTAAAATATTTCGCACTTATTTACAAACATCCTGTATATGTATGTACAGTAGAACCTTCTAACACCGATCACCCTAGGGGAATAATAAGTTGGTCACTAAATAGAGATTGTTGTGTTAAAGAGAATACATCAAAATGATAACTATTGATGTACGTTTAACACGACTTATTTGTATGTATATAAAAATCATAATTACATTGGTAACAACTTTTCCTTCCAAACATTCACGTCTTGAACACTAACATCAGCCGATTCGCCACATCTCGTTTTGAAGGTGATATCGTGTCTACGTCGAAATTTATCTAGCCATCCATTCGATGCTTTGAAGTAACTTAGTCCTAGCCTTTGAGCAACTTCAAGGGCTTTTGCTCGAATTATGGGTCCCGATATTGGTAAGTGCTTGCTGCGAGCCTTACAAAACCAGTTGAAGGTGATTTGGTCCACGGCATATCCATCGGTTTTAGGGAATTTTCTTTTTTGCTTAGCGTTGCCTCCCTGTTGATAGAAATGTTTAACTTCTTTTTTATTCTTTAGCAGCATTGTCACTTGAGTCTTGCCCACTCGAAATTTTTCCGCTAATCTCCTGATACTCAAACCACTTTTTTCACTTTCGTTGATAATATCAATTCTTTCTTTAATGGAAAGACGCTTCCTTTTTCCCGGCATGTTCAAAATGTGTTATATTTACGTTAACACTTAAGAATTCAAAATAGAACTAAAATTAAAACCAGATTCTCTGGGTTTAAGAAACAAATTTTGTGAAATAACGTTCTACCTACTTTTATGAGGGTACTGTATTGTCCTTTAATGGGAGGGGTTTTGTCATTGTTGTATTCTGGAAAATCTAGTAGACTGGTGCCCGCGGTCGTTTAAGAGAAAGATCTTTATTGAGGGAGTGCAAAAACAAGAGGATTTCCATTTGCAAATTCAGAGAATTCAAAATAGGTCGTTATCTTAGAAGTGGTCGCTTGACACAGGTGTATATCTAACAGAGGTTTTACTGTATGTATATGTATATTTACAAAATCACGTCTAACAATCACGTAACAATATATATAATAATTTGTTGCAGTAGTAGACCGGCCGTCCTTTGGATGCGTTTTCGTCCGAATTATTTTCGTCAGAAATCGGACTAATAAATTTTGTCAGATTTCGCCCAAGTTTTTGCTTTGTAGAAGTCGGTCGTACATACTGATTTATCAAATCACCATATTATAGTTGTCAATAATATGGATTAGGTACCTTTTGGAAAACAGTTATTTTATCCGATTTCTAATGAATCCAATTCGGACGAAAACGCATCCAAAGGACAGACGGCCTTAGGGAACATAATTACAATACACAAATACATATTTTGATAGAACGAATTGAAAATATATCAAAACGGCAGGACCGGCTCCAACCATTTTGTTGTGGTGAGAAAAGTAGTTATGATACACTCGTCAAAAGGTTTACCATTAAATATTTTAAATATATTTTCATCAACGAAATTTAATTATTTTAAGCCTACTGTTTATTTATACTCTTAACAGAAAAATCCGAGAGAGACCGCCTTTGGGTAGGGGATTCCCCTCTCCCCCAGCACCCTCAAAACAGAAAAAAAAATCACTTACCTTGAAGAAGGGAAGATATTGTATTGTTTTCAAGTTTACTTTCTAGGTTTGTTTCAAACATAATTCGATAAGAATAAGGTACAGAAGGCAATGCGGTTAAATAACTGTCAAAGTCAAAATCATAACCATTAATTTAAGGTAAATTTGTTTCTCTTTCGAGTTTGAGCAAATTTGAGTATTAAACATACAAGTCTACATTATAAAACTGACGATTTGAGCATAATAAGCTAGATCACGTTGGCTTTGTCACGCGTGCTACAATTTAGCAGGCAACGGTTTGAGCACCGTACCTAAAAGTTTAAACCTGAGAGTAGAAAAGAGAGATGGGGTGTACCCAAATACGGTCTCTCTCGGATAACGAGATAGCACTAGCATATGTTACAGTATGTTAAATTTCACACCATTGTAGACAAAAATTATTCATTTATTTATTATTTATTTATAGAAACATTGGAAATGACGCATGTGTAAGACTTCTGGTTTAATCTCTAGTTTCTAATTTTCTAAAAGTTATCAAATGCATTAAATAAAATATTTTATTATTTTTGACTTCTGTAAGTGAAGTGTGGAGAGAGGTTGGAGTTAGATGATAAAAATAATAATATATAGCCTAGATATTTTCTTTCTGTTTAAAACTATGGGTTTACCTATTTGCCATCAAATAGCAGGTAAAATTGGAAGGGTATTTTATTAGAGTTAGAGAAGTACTTCCAGGTAACAAAGTTTGATACTTTATAGCTATAATAGCTACCCAATATCATTTTGACCTGTTTTCAGTGCTTCGCAATTATAGATAGGTATGTACTTTAATTTTTTATGGGATCAATAATAAAATGGCTTAAAATGGAAATCATGATCTACCTCGATTTTCACGGTTTCCTATACGGTTGCAAAATAATTTTTAGAGAATTGTACAAAAAAAAATCCGAAGATT